GAGGGTTTTTATGTTTTTATTTCTTATAAAAATGACTGATTTCATTTTTTGTATAAGTTTCATTAATTTACAATTTTAGAAATAATACAATGAAAATAATTGTGAATTTATATTAAAAATTTAATAGGTTGAAGTTTAAATTATAAATAAATGACTTAATTAAAAAAATTGTTATATATTGTAAAATTTTAATTAGATTTAAGTAAAGGAAAAAGTACATATTAGTCTAGATTTTAAAAATAATTAGAATTTAATTTTAAATTACATAGTTTTATTTAATTAAAATTTAATTCAAAATTTAAAAAATTATCTTATTAAATATTGATATTTAAATTTATAAATTGATGATATTAAAATATATAATAGATTTTCAAATTTAAAAATCAACATTTAATAGAATTAGATTTCAGTTTTCAAATATAAATTCAAATTCAAATTTTTTTGACAGTAAGAATTGACAAGTACTGACCTCTTAAAGTAAAAATTTTTTAATTTGATTTATTTTGCAAATAAAGTAATGACTTTAATTTGAATTCATTTGTTCTTCAATTTTTTACTAATAATAAAAAATAAATAGATAATTACTATTCTAATTTTTAAAAAAATATTAAAATATCTAAATAAAATTATAATTTAAAATTAAATTAAAAAAGATTAAAATTAATTGATATATAAAAGAGTTACACTAATTATATTTTAGTCTTTTAACTTTTGAATCTTAGTAAAAGTAAACCTTAATAAATAGTATTGATAGTATTGATGACATTAAAATTCAATAAATGATATTGATTAATTGACAAATAATATTGATGAGTAGTATTAACCGATTATGGACTTTTTAGTATTAATTATTACAATATATAATTTTATCAATTATTTAATTAAAATCAATAATTGTTAACTTGTGTTATCTAACTATAAGTTAGAAAAATAAAAATTAAAAAAATTTATAACTTAGTAAAAAAATATTATTAATATATATAATAAAATAAAAATTAATATTAATTTTATTAATTATTCAACAAAAAATATCTTTATATTATAATATCAATTTTTTTATTTTTTTTTATAAATTAATATAAAAAAATTATTTATGACCCCTTAATATGTGGCCTTAGTATGGTTTACGCAAACGATTAAAAAAAAAAATCCCCGAAATGAGAAGAAAAAACAAAATTGCAGATTTTATATTAGTTATATGTGAGGGATCGTTTCCGCAGTACACGTCACCCCCATAATTCAGAGACAGGATTTTCCCCCACGAAGTTTATCCCTTCTTTGAACCCGCCTTCACATTTCCCGGCCTCCGCGCACGGTGGCGCAATGATGTGGGACGACTGGGACAATTCTCAGGAACCCCAGCAACCCGATGAAGATTCTCCTCTCAATTTCGATTTCATTTCTCTTCTCTCCAAACCCAAGGTAAGCTTTGAATTTCTATTAATTTTTTACAGAAATTTTCGTTTTCGTGGTTTTGGTCTTCTAAATTCATAGGTTGTAAATGCAGGATTATTATAAGATATTGGAAGTAGATTATGATGCTACGGAGGACGCTATTCGCACTAATTACATCCGCCTCGCGTTGGTTTGTATCTTATTTTTTGATGCTGAATTGATTGGATGTATTGTTTCCCCCTTTCCTTTTTCTGTGTTATTGTTTTCCGATGGAATGGTGTGGTTTTTGCAGAAATGGCATCCGGACAAGCAAAAAGGTGAGGACAGTGCGACTTCAAGATTTCAAGAGATAAACGAGGCTTATCAGGGTCAGTTTCATGCCCTTATTGTTTCTTTTTTCATATTTCCTTAATCTTGATTTCATGTTTTATTATTGGGGAAAATTAAGAGGAGCTCTTAAGATGTTTAATTCAGAATTTGGATACTGTCTTTCTCGTTGTGAATCTGTTGAACCGGGCTGTGAACTCTGGTTATGTGCATATGTATGTTGGCTGAAAGAACTAAAGTAATTGTATAAGGCCATAACAGCCTCTGACCATGGCATGGCTATAGAATTTTTTAGACCATACCATAGCTTTAGATACTATTGTGAGGTTCTGCTTATGGTTCTGCCTGGGGTAATGAAGCTTGGAGTTTGATATGCTTATCCCATTGTAGAGAGTGGTAAGAGAACAATCTTCCACCTCCTCCTTCCCTTTAACTTTTATGTTGATTACTTCATCAAACACATCATAAGGGGATTCAAATTTAAATTTTCCTGTGCGTGGTAATTCTAGGATTAAGATGGTTATTGCTTTTCTGCAACAGTTTGAAGCTTTGAACTACGGTTGGTTATCCTAATTAACCTCATTTTTATGTGAATGATAGACTTTAGCATTTAGGTAAGGCACAACAGGTAAAGTCTACGATTGGATCTTGTTTCCATCTTCTATGCTGAGCATGGCACATGGTTATGCTTTCACATCCAGATTTTCAGTTAGTTTATTTCCAGTTAAGATAGGAAAACTGGTCATGTAGGATTGTTGATAGATTTGATGTAGACATCATGATTATAATGGCCTTCATGTCTTTTTAGATGCCTTATATGTGGTGAGGACTTGTTGAAATAGATGAGGCTGGTTGGTCACATAGCTAAAAGATGTCTCATTGGCAAAATCTAAATGGATTCTCCTTCTAAGGGTGAATTCATTTTTTCTCAGTATTGATCATTTTCCTGGTTTTACAGGGAGTTCTACTGAAGTACTGATCTTTTGTCACAAGTAATCTTTAGTTGAAACTTAATAGTTGTACTTTGCTTTCTCTGTGGTGGGGCATTTGCAGATAGAATGCACAACTTAAAACATTCCCTGCGCACAAAAATTGTTGTTCTTTATATTTGCAAACTTGTTCAGAAGTTCAGTTATATACCATTATCTAAGAATGACTTTATACTTTGATAGTTGGTGGTATATTTGTTTTTGTCCCATGTAAGCCATTTATTGGTATTCCTTGATAACTATGGAGCTTGATGATGCATGTTTAAGGGTTTGAACTTTGAAGAACTATGTTTTCATTATATTGTTATGAACTTATGAGAGAAGGCAAACTGGGTTTCTCTGATGCACATGGTTGAGGGAATTCAACTGCTGGGACAAGTTGATATATATACAAGTGTGGCAAAATATAGTTTGTAAAAAATGAATTTGGTCTGACCAGTAGATGCTTTGACTTTATTCAACAGTTCTGAGTGATCCTGTTAAAAGGAGCGAATATGACAAGAAGGGAATGATGTATGGCTATGATAATATAGTTGTAAGTACAATACCCCTTCTTTGAATGGCAATCTATTTTATGTAAATTTGAATTTACTGGCTTACGGGTTTTCATTCAATATCTGCAGGAGTACCTCAACCGATACAAGGGCCTTATATTAACATGTAATGGCCTTGGGATTAGACAATCAATTTGGTGAAGTGAAAGCAGCGTGCACATGTTTCCTTCTGTACATTTTGTAACAATGTCCAAGGTGCTGGAACTAATCTGTGGACGACTCAATGTTTCAAATATCAAAGCTGGATTTGCAACAACAGCTTGGATGTATTAGAACTTAGAAATTATTATTACCTGGAACTTTATAGATAACAGGGAAACATTAACATCATCTGTAAACATTCTATGTTCTCCCATTTTACAAGGTTGTAGTTAGTAAATAGCAGCTGTTTATCTGCGAGAGTAAAGGGCTGATTTATATTGCTTCCTAGCTAATGGAAGTAGTATAGATTT